AGCCACATTTTAATATGACAAAAAATTTAAAAAATAAAGGGAGTCTCATTCAAAATATATCAATCTAAAGGGGATATGAAGGAAATTTTTCTTAAAATATATCTTAGTTAATGTAGTAAAATTGAATATAAGGGATATCAGTAAAGATTTAAAAAATAGAAGGAACATCCGTGAAGATAAAATAAACTTGAAAAGAAGTTGTTAAAATTTTTCACAAATTATAACCACATATCAATCATTTACGACAACAAAAAAACACACAAGAGAGGGAGGGGTACTTTGACAAGGTCTCTCTCACTTATTAAGGAACAATAATTACAAATAAAAAAGATGGGCAGTACAACTCCCGCCACTTTAGGATCTGAGGAGGTTGTCCATGCCACAATCATTGGATGCCGGTTACTGGGAGTTTCTCTCGACGCTTCCAAAGTTTTCTTCCCCATAAAACCACCCACCTGTGGAAGAATGTTACCAAGATGGCAGCTCCCAAAAGGACATAAGGAATGATTCCTTCAGTGATACTGGCAATTGCAAATCCATAAGCAAACATCATAGAAACCATAGAAATCAGAAGCTCCTTTTGAAATGGAAATCCAACAGTGAGATAAGTTATAATGCTGAGTGAAGCAGTAAGCCCCAAGGTGTTTGCAAACACAAACAAAAATGTTATAGCATTAGTGTCCCAAACAGAGGTCGGAACATATATCATTCCTCGTGGAGTAGAAGTTGTGTTAGATGGGGTGTCTGATGCCAGATCCATGATGCCATTTCGAGGGTTCACGCCTGCTTGAAAGGTGACCGAGGCAATCAGAGCAGCCACTACTAGCAGTGCATCACGTGCTTCGCTAGGTGAATCTCTTTTCTTTTGAAACTTGAAGTATTTGAGCCAATCCTTGGAAGATTTTGACTGCATTACTCCATTGTTGGCTTGTTCAATTTTTGCAGGATGTTGAAGACAAGTTGAGGAGACAATATTAGCATGTAAAGCACTAAGTGCTCCGGCAATTTGAAGGATTTCTCTTAGGTGGAGATCCTTGGGACTTTCTATTACTATATCCACCACATCCATGGCTGTCAAACCCTTCAAATTTATGGCATTCACCTCCACTATCTTACGGATTGTGTTATTGTTATCGAGAAGTAGTTCTACAGTCTGCATCAGAAAAACAGTTGAAATTAGCATGTTATTGTGTAGACAAACAATATGGTCATTCCATGGAAAAAAAATCCAAAAAAAGCAAGAAAAGGTAAGTCATGAAAAGGAGTGAAGGGAGTTTGATCAATTTGAACTTACATCCACTTGCTTTCTGGAGGCTGCAAGGTGTAAAACAGTGTTCCCATCGCAATCAACAGAATTTATGATGGCCTCCATATTTAGTCTTTTGAGCCAGCTAACTAAGAGCAAAAAGACGTTGAATTGGTTGTTTTCCACAGAGAGATGAAGGGCAGTTTTCCCGTCAACCATGGTATCTACAATAGATTTCGGGCAAGTGGAGAGCAGTACATCCATCACTTCAATTCTTCCCTTCATAGCAGCATAGTGAAGAGCTGTTCTTTGGTCTTTGCCTTTCAGACGACAAATTTCATAATTGTTTTTCACAAATTCCTTCACCAATTCCACGCTCCCCATTATCGAAGCTATGTCCAGAAGCCGAAATCCATCTTTACTTAATTATTTGGCTAGTTCATGATCGTGGTTTATAAGCTCACATACAAAATCAAGCTGCTCGGATTTCGTTACCACATGTAGAAGAGACTTCCTTGGAGATGATAGTGCAACATCAATAAGAAGACTGGGATTTTCTTTAAGCATTTTTTGGAGAACCTCAACGTTTCCTTCCCAAGCAGCTTCAAACAATACTTTACTATGCATTTGTTGACCTTGCATGTAAAACTAAAACGAAGCCTTAGCTGAGGTAAAAGAAATTATATTTATACATTATTTGTCTTGATTTTGTTGGGAAAAAAACATTTCTTAGGCTACGGTGTCAAAAAGCTAATCCTTGATATCGTATATCTTTTGCTTTAAATCTACTTATAAGTTTTATAACGTGATATGTAAAATATTTTCTTCTCTTATAATTTTATTGATTTTATTATTGACGATGTTCAAATATCACAAGTTTAAGTCTAATGATAAGACAATCAATGAGTGATGGAGTTGAAAGAAACAATCAAAATTTCATCGATAAAATTTCTTGAATTCGAATTTTAGTATTTTTTTGGAGATTATTCTTTATGAATATTCTAATCCTGACGTGAATAGTCTACCTTTGACTAAACTAAAAAAAAAAATAGTTTTTGTGTATGTAAATTAGCTTGAATACCCTTGATAGTTGGACTAAAAAATAGAAAGTGATAGTGTTTAGAAATGCTTAGCTCAAGTCCATAATAGTGATTTTATGGTCTAGAAAAGGGATAGTGTGGATATGTGAATTGGCAGTAGATTAAGCTGTGAGGATGAATCAAAAATAGTATATAAATAGTTCATTTTAGCCGGGAGACTAAGGTTTATATCCACTATGATGGAGTCTCTTGCTCCTTAGAGATGTATATTTCTTGAAGAAGAAGATTACAACAGATTGTCTTTCTTAAAGCCTGTTCATACAATGTTGTAGTAATACCAGTATATCAATGGGGGAATTGTCAGTCTCCCCTGTATAGTGTGATAGTATTCTATTTATATGGGTAATCCTTCTAGGGCTTCTTACAGTGTCCTCTCTCCTTTTTGTTGATTCTGTAGTCCCCTTTTCTTTTGTTATTTAGTAATCTCTGTCATGCGGCGCCATTGTACCCACGATTCTTGGGTGGTTACATGCACAAAAAATCCCTTGGCCAGAGGGTACATGATCGTTAGAGACTTCATAAGTTGTCCCCTGATCCCTAGACACGTGGCGCGAAATGGGGCAATTGGAGTCTAATGAGTACCGAGCTCCTTTATCCTAGGCTGCTTAACGCTGAGTTTGCTATGACCAAGCAAGGTCATGCCAAACTGGACTTTCTGCCAGGCTTCCTCCTTTGGATTATGGTTCATTCCTTATTAGTAGGAGCAAATGGGTTGTTAAGGAGTTTCTTAGGCTGTTGTGCCCCCTTTTTAACCCATTAGGTGATTTGAATTTAGAATGGACAGCTCACTCCAAAATTCTACCGTTATCAAAAAGAAACGGTCAAAATTCTTCCACAGTCAAAAGGATCTAATGCTCATCTTCACAGCAACCGACTCTACGAACACTCAAATTGAATTTTGGGCTATCCTCAAGGGACTGGAACTCATTCTAAGGAAAGGGATTAGTCCAGTGATGGGTGAGACTGGTTCCCTTGAGGTTTCCTAATTTCTTGCCTATGACCAATATGAGGTTCATCCTAACACAGCCCTTATAGGAAAGTGCAAGCATCTGATGGAGGTGAACTCAACATAGTTCACATCTTGCATACTTTGAGGGAAAGCAATTAGTGTGCGGACCTGTTAGTCAACCATGGAGTCCAACAACAGGGAAATTTTCATTGAGCTTAAAAGATCCCCCACTAGAACTGGGGAGCCTGCTAAATACAGATATAGATAGTACCTCAGTATCTTAAGACATCAATTTAGTTGTTGATTTACTCTTCTAATGTGCCAAAAAAAGAAAGCATGAAAAGGTAAATCATGAAAGGGAGTGAAGGGAGTTTGATAGATTTGAACTTACGTCCACTTGCTTTCTGGAGGCTGCAAGGTGTAAAACAGTGTTCCCATCGCAATCAACAGAATTTATGATGGCCTCCATGTTTAGTCTTTTGAGCCAACTAAAACTCTAAAGGCGTCGAATTGTTTGTTTTCTACAGAAAGATGAAGGGCAGATTTTCTGTCAACCATGGTATCTACAATAGATTTCGGGCAAGTGGAGAGCAATACATCCATCACTTCAATTCTTCCCTTCATAGCAGCATAGTGAAGAGCTGTTCTTTGGTCTTTGCCTTTTAGACGAAAAATTCCATGATCGTTTCTCACAAGTTCCTTCACCAATTCCACGTTCCCCATCATTGAAGCTATGTCCAAAGGCCGAAATCCATCTTTACTTAATTCTTTGGCTAGTTCACGACCCTGGTTTATAAGCTCTCGCACAAAATCAAGCTGCCCGGATTTCGTTGGCAACGTGTAGAAGAGACTCTCTTGGAGATTATAGTGCATCATCAATAAGAACACTAGGATTTTCTTTAAGCATTTTATGGAGAACCTCAACATTTCCATCCCAAGCAGCTTCAAACAGTACTTTACTATCCATTTTTTGATCTTGCATGCAAAACTAAAAGGAGGCCCTAGCTGAGGTAAAAGAAATTATTGTTCAGAGAAGGTAATGTATCAAAACAAACCATTGGACTGCCTTATATAATATAATTCACTGTAAGAGGGGCGTTTGAATTGTCAAAGTAATAAAATGTGAAAATACAAAAGTAGAAACTTCGAAGTCTACTTTTCCAACAGTGTAGAGAATGAGTCTCTCATTGGCCAATGCAGGAAATTAGTTCCAGTTAGCTCTAGAAGGACTCTTATCAATATATTCTTCAATTCAGTGTGTTCGTAAAAACAATGGTAGTTTAGCAAATAAGTACATTTCAAATAATGGTATTATGGTAATAAAGGTTTTTTTTAGAAAGGGTAAACTTATAAATAACTATATTTCCACTACCTGGATAAAAAAATTTGATGCAATCCAAATTGACGTTGTTAGATAATACTTCTGACTATTTCGTTGGTATGATAGTAATCAATTAATATTTTATTTCATTGGTATGATATTAGTCGATTAATATTTCAATCAAGTATAAGTTTCGTGTTTTCTTTTCTTTTCCCCGTCTTCTACCTCAAAATTTTTCATTGTATCTTCGACCTCGTCATGGAATAGGGCAAATGGTCATTTTATACCACTAGGTTGTAATATACTAGGGGCAAAATGGATTCAAATCAAAATCCGATCCATAAACTAGCATAACGACGAGCAAGACATTCCCTTAAAAAACTCGGCAGGTATATACCAATGGCATGCAAACCATTAACCATTGCACCCAGTGTTAAATCAACATATCCAGCTACAATTGAGCAAGGAAACAAAATTAGCAATACAAGCCTTGCTTTAATACATGCTCAGATCAAGAGTAACAGTGAAGCAGTTGTAACAAAACTGTTTACGACGACATGAAGCACCTTCCCACCATCTAAAGAAAACCATAAAAAGAGGACCTAATATCATGTGAACAAGAACTAATACTATTAAATCACCCCTTACCTCAATAATTTAAATTCCACAACTTGATTTTCCTCGATCATCCTCGTCATGGAATAGGGCAAATGACACCCAAATGCATTTAAAAATTAAACCAGTGACAATGACCCAATATCATGGTCCACCAAGATAATTACCGTACATGTCCTTACAAATTTTCCCACGAAGAAAAAAGGAACATAGAACAAAGTTGATCCCAAACCATCCATCTTAGAATGAAGCTCTGCGGTTTCATTCTTAGATAGTCACCTCTGAGCACAGCAATAATTAGTCGCCATAATTTTTTGGGGAGCCAAATCATGAGGTATATAGAGCGTACCCATGACAATTTCTATGAAACCACTCTCTTCACACCGATAGGTAGAAGATTCAAGTGTGTTCCAAACATGCTCCAGCAAGCAGTGAACACGCACTTCATACATGATTCTCCTGCGCATGCCTTTTCTGATCCCTTTCTGGGTAACCAAGCCTCCCCAACCTGTTTTTATCCTCTGCAAAGTCATGGCGATTACGGTGGTGGGACCCTGGCATACAATCATGCCGCTGCTTTCCCTCCATTGGTTTGTCCACAGGGCTACCAGCCTTCCTTTTGCGGTTGCTGGACTTTGGTGAGCGATGTCCCCTGTCAGCATCATCGAACGCTTCCAGTTCTCCCTCTTCCACATTGTCATAATGTTGCCCACGTGATGACTGCCCTTTCATCCCTTGGTGCCCATCTCCAGCCTCATCTTGATGCTTCACAGTATGTGTGTGTTCATTATCTGTTCGGTTTGAAGATTTGGACCAGTTTGGCTTTCTTTCCGGCTTGATTTTCTCATTCTCAGCAGCCAATTCGATTCCATCTTCAAGTTCTCTCTCGATGAGATCATCCTCATCCATGAAGTCTGTTTTCCGCGCCATGTCACCACGGGCCTTCCTTCGTTTCTCAAGTGCTGCCTTTACCTTGTCTTTGTCAATCTTCTTAATAGCTTCTTGAGGTGACTGGCCAAGTGTACCATCTTTATGTTCCAGACTTCGACTATGGTATTTGTCCTTCAACTCGCCTGCTTCCCTCATCTCAATTCTCCCAGCAATCCTTTCTTGATCTTCCTCACCATGACCCTCAGAATCAAACCTAGATATATTTTGGACTGCCCCCATGTTTCCCTGGTGAGGTAATGCCTCTGGTTCATGATGATGATTGTCATTAATCTCACCGGCTCCCATGTGGCCTGAAATGCCATTTGTCTCTGTGTTTCCGTACTCATTACTTCGATTCTGAGTCACCCTTGAAGGCCCAGCATGATTACTGGTGTATGACTGATCAGGAACTGTCCGAGATGATGTTGGCTTCAAAGTTCCAACTTTGGAAGTAGCTCCCCCACCCTGAGAAGTACTATTATTCGTCACCTGCTCATCATTGACGGCAGGAGCTTTTGAGGGAGCCCGTGGAGTATCTCCAGCACTTCCTTCTACTTCACTAGTTTGAGAAGGTGGCACTCTATTTTGTTCATACAATTCTAACATTTGATTACTAACCTCTGCAAGGAATAAAAGATTAACAATTAAAAAGGGAACATCTAAGATATCAGATCTTATTTTATAACAATACGACTGTATCGCAAATATAGTATGCCAATCAATTAAATCATCTCTGAACAAAAAAAAAACCCTTTTCTCTCATTCTCCAAAACAAGATTTAAAGATAAAGAATCAAATTAAAAAAAACTTCGCCGACACATTTTCTATGTGTAGCAAGATTTAGTCCAAACAAAAACAAGGGTAGCTGGCTCTATCCAATGCCATCAGTCCACAACACTGCTATTCAAGGGAAGCAAGACACCCACCCTCCAATTGGCGTGGGGTGACATCAAACTCCTGCCACCAGACCTTCTCACCATCAGATGGGAGCTTTACCTTGAGGAACTTTGCAGCAAGAAAAATGGCACCTGCTGCAATGTGGTGGGGCATAAATTGCAAGCATAGAGACGTCCGAAGCCTGCATGCCGCTTTCCCGGGTCAAAAGGAGACAAGGAAGAATGACCATGGGTGGGCACTATATAATAACTATAATAAGCATTCTATCATACCCATCATTCACAAAATTCCATGCAACTTGGGCAAGAGCATTCTGGGCAACCTTGAACTTCTTAATTGCCTCAACAAGGGGTTTATATGGATGATGCACATTAAGATCAAAACCAAGAGTTGCCAGCACAACTCTCTCTCCAACCAAAATCAATTCTTTTTGTTGTTCATATACCTCCTGCATAATGGATGTAGAAACATCAAATATCTAGTGTAAACAACATATACCTCCAAAACAAGCTTCAAAATTTCTTTAGGCAATAAAGCAATAACAAATATATATTAAAAAATAAAGCACAGCTGTTTTTTGAATCCAAGACAAAGAGCGACTCAAATCGTTTGGGGATAAAACAAGGCTTCATCCAACGGACTAGGTTATCTCAAGTTATTGACGATTGAGATCATTCTAGAATTATTGATTCTATGAACTAAATTAACTCACCGAAATTTTTATTCCACAGTAAAATTTCAATTTTTGAAGACTTGCCAATCCACCCCAATCAAACCCTAAACAACTCTCTGGATTTCTCTCATGCCTAAACTTACTACTCGCTCCCCCCATCTCTGCCTTAATCTCCGGCCCCTTCTCCCTTGCTTTGTTTTTCTTTTCTCTCTCCCCCAGTCTATATTATCCTTCCCTTTTCTCATCCCCAACAGCACCACCAATGGCCAAGCCACAACTCCCCGACGCCACCTACCAGTGACTGCGTTACTCTCTCACGTTACTCTCTTCACATCTTCCTCTTCTACACCACCCTACAACCAACCTGCAACGGCATTTGTGAGCTATGTGATAAATAAATAGCAGAAAACACAAAAACAGGCCACTGCAAAATCTGACCCATCTCTTGTCTCCAGCATAGAATGGCCTCCCTCACACGTATGTCTCTCCCTCTCCCTCTCTGCCCATCTCCTTCTCCCCACTCTCTCTATCTATCGCCCACCATCCCCATCCCACATCCCCACGCCCCACATCCACCACCCAACCCACCCCAGAGCCACTAACCAAAACTACTAAACACAGCCACTGCTAGCCCCGCCCTCTTATCCCCTCATGGTCACAAGCCACGGCCACTAGCCCACCGTGCACATCAAGTGTTTGCCGGAATGCTTGAGACAGCACCACATCCAATTGAGTTAGGACTACAGCTTCAAGGAATGGGGTTTTCCTGCTACCCAGTGCACATGATTTGTCACATGACAACCACACACAGCTACATATGGCATAGATTTTTGTTCAATTAGGGAAATTGATGAAATTGGTTCATTGTTTGATTAACCGTTTCATGTTTAACAATTTTTCGTACTCTTTAGGATTCCAATTGTGATGGATTTCAATTGAGTATGATAAGTTTAGTTTCATTGTGTTTTGAAATCAATCAGTGTATAGTTGGGCTCTTCTTGCATGGTAAACTTATAAGCCTTTCAGTCTCTTCACTTGGTTTTTTTTTTTTTAAAAACCTGAATTTTTTTTATTTTGGTGTAGAAGGAGCATGAGAGAAAGAGAGGTTTTCGGCTTTTCTCAAACACAGGGCATTGACAACCATAGCAGAGTCTGAGATTCCATTTTTGTTGATATGGAGACTATTTATCTTGACGAAAAGGTTTCAATTCTATACAAAATATATTACAGTCACAAATCCTCTATTGGATATTTGATGACTTTGGATTGATTTTTCTTCGCTTTTGATGATTATTGTTGGATTAGCATTTTTATGCACAAGCATTCCATCGTAGCATCTTTGTGATTGTTTGAATTCTTGTATCACGATATTTTTAGCTTTTTAAATAACAAAATCTACATGTCATAACATATGACTTCACAGGAAGTTGAATGGTTAGTATACTTAGAGATAGATGAAAAAATACAGTGAATTTCATAAATGTGTATACCTGTTGCAACGAAGTAGAGCATAACTGCAACACCTCAACCAATTCAATTCATGCTTTTCAATTGTGAATGAGCTACTATACTGGTTATCTGACGCAACTGTTACGTAGCTAACAATTATGAATGAGCTGCTGGTTTTAAGTTGATTCTTTGAAAAAGGGTAGGAGTTAGGGTGCTTGAATTCTGGCAATTTGTTCCTTTTGTTTTCCCTTTGTTCACCACCAAATCTACTATTTTTTGTATCACTGTTTACCCAGGGATGTGTTAATAAGATTTTCTGATAACTTGTGGAAACCACTTGGTTGTAAAAGGCAAATATTTCCAAAGGTTAATTTCATGACCATTCATGCAATTGATTAAAGCATTCGAGGTAGTAAAAAAGGGTTAACCAAGAATAACGAGAATTTGACTTCCCTTAATAAACAATTGATTGGGTATCCAAAACGATGAAATCAACAGGAAAATAAAACTTATTAACCTAAACAAATACATCCTCAACTATTCCCCTAGCAATGGCATTTCCTCCCATGACCACCTTTCCTACCAAAAAAACTAACCCAACCAAATCCAGATTTTTTCTAGACTAAACCTTTGGGATTTTTTTAAGGTTCATACACGCATTAATCCAGTCGAAGAACCTACTCCAAAACGACTATTGTGCCTAGTGTATCTTCTTGCCCGTCCGAGGTTCTCTCTACTCGTTACTATATAGAACACAAGCCAAGGAACTCAAAACCACAACACAAGCACCCTTTACTAGTTTTGGAGTTTTCGCCCTTTGCTTCCGACTGCTTTGAAGTGAAGGTAAATAGTGAAATAAGAGACTAGTTCAACTTGACATGGTAAACGCATCGTTTGAACCACGCGTTCTTATTCATAACTCTCCTCAAATTTAGTTTCTCCAAAGAAATGGTAAACTTAATCAAAACATGTATTCAACGACACTTATCAACTCTAAGGTAGATTTCTTCAAGGTGAGTCGTGGACTCTGGCAAGGATGTCCACTTTACAACGGCCCGTTTATTTTTTAGGATTTGACAATTAAAATTTTGTTTTGCTCTTTATGGATTCAATTAAGCAAACATATAGTGTTGTTTGTTAACCGTAGATTATCTAATTTGTATGATTTTGAATAACAAGTTGTTTACTATTTATCAAGAGGAAAAAAAATGAGATAAAAATTGTTGGATATTGTTGATCTTTGGAAAATTTATGATATATTGGTCGATTTTTAGAAGGTTGTTGAATAAGTGGAAACAATAGTTGCATGAGATGACCGAGGCAGAAAAGAAGACATCCATATAGGGAAGTCCATACTTGCATTGTTTGAGTAGCACATGAGGTGAATCCACTTCTCAAGTTCTACAGAAAGAATGTGAGGGTAGTAGTATAGTTTAATTACTTTTTTTGGATGATCTGTTGTGGTAAACAATTATGATTGTGTCTTCTTTTTTATTTTAGTTTTAAGTACATAAATCTTGCATGAAGTTAAGAAATAGTGCTGAATTTCTCAATAATGGCAGCTTTTACTGGATTCAGCTAGAATTTTTGGACAATGAATTGTTGTTATGGTGATATATTGCTTCACTTTTGAGTGTGGTATGAAGTTATTCTTTTAAGTTTGGAATATAATATGAACTGGTGGTGAAATTGGGGTTTTATGCGTTCATAGTTTGGAATTATTTTGTAAGTGTTGAGTTGTTACTTCCATTTGGAGAGGTTTTCTGGCAAACCTTTTTTGTGTGTGAATGAGGATTCAACTTTTTTCAATAGATTCTTATTGTTTCTAATAAGGCATTTTTTGCATTACACAATGCCTTCAAGCACAAGCATGAACTAATATATATATTAAAAGACTAGTCATGGTTACCATACTACTTGCTGTGGCTATTGGCATTTGAGAAGCAGAGCATAGAAGATTAAGATATTTATTATGTTTCATGAAAAGAGAAAAACCTCACATAATGGGGAATAAGCCAATAGGAGAAATACCAATAAGTAAAAATGAGTAGAAAAGCCCACCAAAAAAGTTGCAATACCTTTTGCTTGATCCTTTGTATGGCGGCAGGATCCTTTTTATGAATAATTTCATAAGAAACTAGTATAACATCTTTTAAAGGACGAGGAGTTTCTTCAACCTTCCCCGCCAGAAACATGCAAACTGTCGCAATGGTCTGCAAGACATTTCGAGAGTAGTTAGGCACCATATCCAATACTTCTGCCTACAGAATGTCTTAAACACAATTTGTTTTTCCTATTTCAATTTTGAAGGCCCTAGTCTGTAGATAGCAAATATAAACATGGTTTATGCTTGTCTTTTCCAATTTTGCCCCACATCAAAGCCACCTGTAGAGTGAGAAATGGTTAGTTCAAACCAAAAATCAGTTCGCTCCTTCCAAAAACAAAAGCATACTGGGGAAGTGAAATGAAGTCAAAAGTAGGCTCTCATCCCTAAACCACACCAAACATCTCCAGAGCTTTCATCTTTGAAGCCCCACTAAACTTTTGTGCTAACATCTATGAAGCATATGCCAAAACAACAAAAAATGATATTTCCAAAAAGCTTGTAGCATGAGCATCAAGTAAAAAAAATTAAATAGTTTAATTTGCAGAGCAGATCTCTGAAGCATTTTTCTTCAATTGTTTCTCCCTCCCATCTCTTTCTGGATCCCATAAAGCATTCCAAATGTTGCAAATCTGAAATTTTCTCTTCTTTTTCCTTTTTATTTTGTAAAACAACTACAACACTGATTCTAGGATTTGGGATATGGGACTTTTAAACAAAATTCGGGTAAATACATTTTTCCCCCTTGTGGTTTGGCCCCATAACATATTGCCTCCCGATTCATGAAGAAAAAAAAACATATAACCCCCTTATACTTTTGGGCCAATGAAACTGTTAGGTTTTCTGTCCGAACAGAGGGAAAGTGTAGCACACGTGGCGATCAGGCTTTTGAGGCCTGGGCGAGAGGCTAGAGGCAAAGCGAAAGCTTCATCAAACTGAGGAGAACAAAATAAAAACCAAGAAAATATTTTATTATTAACATCATAAGTACTAAATATTCAAGTTCTAACTTCTCAAATACTAAATATTCAAAAATGCAACCAAAAGCATAAACATTTAAATTAAAACAAACACCAATAATATCTAAAGTCTTGGCAAAGATGAAGTGAAAAACAGCAAAATGAAAAAGATCATTTTCCAGAAAAATAAAAAACAACAGCACAAAAAAAAAAAAAATTGACGTTAGTAGTTTGGTCTCTTTTAAGCTAGAAGCAACAGCAGACAAGTATCTGTTCCAGCAAGACAGGTCTCCGTCCCAGCAAAAGATGTTCAGAAAAGAAGAAATGTCACAGAAGACGTCTGGTAGTCTCTGTCCCAGTCACCAGACCAGCAGAAGAAGAAGAAGAGGAAGAGGAAGAGGAGGAGAACAAGTAGAAACACAAGGCAAGTATCTGTGCAGTGGAATAATCCGCCTTCATAAGAGATCAACAAAGCAAAGGCAAATATAGAAAAGCACTCACCTCGTTGTCTGGGCATGAGGCTTCGGGTGAGACTATTCTCACCCCACAAATATCCTTTCACATCCCATTAAACTCCCAATTACAAAACTACTAAACTCACCCCCTGCTATATATACCTCACTAATGGCTAAAGTCCACCACATTCTACACCCACCCCATTAATAGCTAAACTAGATAAGCCTTCACTCAAATATTTTTTATATTCTAATCATTCCATGTAAATTTCTCTTCAAAAAAAAAAAAAGGTTAAGTTTGTATATTTGTATGTGTGCGTGTGTGTATATATAACCTTATATATATTATATACAGACCTCAAATGAAAATCATTGATATTGATAAAATACACGTTCAACAAAATGAAATAAACTTGGAACCAATACCAACTTGAATATCACTTGAGAGATCTATATTAGATAATCAAGATGAGTATATTTTTGTATAGATTGTGTGAGATGGGATATTGGAGTGAACTTAGTTATTAGTGGGGTAAATATAAAAGGGGTGGACTTAGTAATTTTATGATTTAGAGTTTAACAGGGTAGGAACGGAGATTTGTAGAGTGAGAATAGCCCCATTAGGTGCTCTTTTTTTTTTTTTTGGCTTAATCTTTGCTTCAAACAATTCGCCTCCCCTTGGACCACTTGAGGCAAGCTGGCCTCATCAGACCTTGCCTAGTGCATGCTTTTGATAACATTAGCTTCTGCCGTGCTCGACAAGTAAAAAAGGTGATACGAAGATGTGACATTTGTTTTTCAACTGAGTGTTGTATTTTTTAGGTTAACCAAAAAACCCACAAAATGGTAAATCGTCTACATCTCCATTTGGTTATAATATGTTGCAGAATAGAACCTTTCACTAAAGAGAAATGAAAGTTTGTTGGGCTTAGGGCCGTAAATGATCCAAGTTGATCTTACTAGTAGATTGTCTAACCTTTGCCTGAAAATTTTTAATGAGTTCCAAATAAAGCTCAAGTTTGACTGTTATCTCATGAGTCAATCTCAAGTAAGCTTACAACTGAGCAACCACAAGCCAACTTAGGTGTGGCTTCTTATATGGCATGGGATGCTTACCAGCTTATTGATCCAAGCTCAAGTCGAACTAAATTATTCAATGAGGTACAAAAAAGTTCAAGCTTGGCTTGCACATCTCACAAATTGAACTTCAGCCTCTGATCAGGCAAGTCACAAGTGGAACAAGAGTACCTTCGTCCCTCATACAAACCTCATTGGGACTTTTAAGTGCCATGAACAGTACTCCTAAAAGTAAGCATGGATGGTTTTAGGTCCTTCAAGTGTGGTATATATGGATGATCAGCATTCTCCACGAACATTTTACTCAGTTTCTGACCAATACTATCCCATTCATTAAGTTGACTAGATGTCAGTATTCTTAGGAACAGACTACATAGTAATCATCCTTGTCAGAACTACAAACAATCCAGGTCAATTAGGATTCCCACTTGGCCACAAAATGAATAACTACTCATGAGAAACAAGGAAAAACTTACCCGCCTATCATTCTTTGCATGGGATTGTCGAAGGAAGAAACGATGACAAAAAATTATTGCCGTAGCAATGGTCACCTGGGGCCTGCATTTGAAAATATGCACCTTTGAATCGTTAGTCAAATATAAATCATTATTCTTCAACCACAATACAACATGGTATTAACTGACAGATGTATATACCTTTAACTTAGGACGCCATGCAACTAATAATGAACCACATGACACCTTCAGATCCATAGACATGAATCTATCTGACCACCGAATAAGAAGTGTAGGCATCGGAAACCTCCCATAAGGATTGGCACAATAATATTTCACATCTGTAGTAGTTTTAAAATACCACAGGCCTCCATTGTCAATGTGTCCACCTTAAATTTCAAGGTTCACTTCGATATATCCTCAAACAGAGGTAGTGGAAGTGTAAATGGACTTGATCAGTCAAAATTTTCACACCCAAAAGGCTAGCATAAAAGCCTTCAAGCCCAAGGGAGGTCAGAGATACTTCAAACGACCAGGGGTGATCAAAGAAATAAGGGGAGGTATTGATATCTACCCAAATGATTAGTGATAGGCTATTATTCAAATGCAACTCAACCCGACTAAACAAAACCTTGTCCCAACTAATTCCAATCACAATTAATTTTGACTTCCCTCTACCACTCGCATTACGGTCAACAGTTATCACATCACTCTTCTTGAATAAATTGTAATCTTCCTTAATCGACTTTCGCTAAACACGTCCAAACCACACAAATCATTTTTCATTTAGTTTATCTACTATTGGTAGCATTTCTATTTTTTCTATACTAGATCTAATTCTATCCTCTTTGGTTTTACTACAAATCTGTTTTAATAGCCTCATTTCTATCACATTTGATTTTTGAGTGTGTTATATCTTAAACTTCCTAACATCTGGTACCATATATATGGCTGGCCTTATGGCCGTCTTTATAACTTGCCTTTCAGCTTAAGAAGCTTGCATTAATCACACAATACACCATATGTATTCCTCTACTTAGTTCATTCTACTTTAATTCTATGAGTAACATCATCTGGAATCTCACCCTATATATGGATAATTGACCCGACATATCGAAAGTGTTCACTATATAAAACAGTATCAAAGGCCACTGATACCATTGCACAAGAGTCGTTACATCCCATAATAGCTGAGTTCTAAAACTATGACTTGGAGGGATTGTCTGGGCACAAGCCTAACATTTGGTGTTCTTTGTACAAAGTGACTACTCTTATATTCGAACCCACAATTTGACAGTTAGATCGAGCATTTTACCACCAAATTAGGTAATGACCCTTCTTACTTTAACAATATAAATCTAATATGTTACCATCTATTATGTTTAAACACATACATTTCAAAAGCACAAGCATATCCAAGGCTACTAAGCATAACCAAGACAGAGGTAATGATTTTAAGATTCCTCCTGATGACCTTTCCTATAAACTCATTAGGTTATTTAAATAGCAGTTAGTATACTTAAAGAGACGCTTTCTTTAAATTGCAAGCGGTTTGAAAACCATCTACTATGCAAGAGCCAACTCTTTTATGGATTTTCCATAAAATTGTCCAATATCGCACAACTATCACAGTGAGCTCTGTTTGACTTGCCAACAATAATAATCAAGTGAATATGCGTTATATTTCTATTGCTGGATTTTCCCTAAATTTCTCACATCATTAGTTCGTATTTTTTGTTATGAAAGGGCACTTCTTAGTATTATGCTGCAGTCAGACATTTAACAACCACCCACTGTTCTTTAATAAGGACACAAGCACATATGTTTATTTTATAAACTAAAGAAAGCATGTATATCCATGCTGTTTCCTGGATTTTGTGGAGTTTCTTTGTCTCTCGTGTAGTTTATTTATTGAACTGCAAAAGTAGTGTAGTTTTGCATCGAAAAGCAAAACTAGATTTTTTACTACTAATTGAGATATACTTTTTTGTCAAATATGCTATCATTTCCCGACAGTATAATATAACATTCAAAAAATTTAGCTGTAGTGTTTAAACAATACTAATCATCCTTATCTAACTGTTACATTACACTTTTTATTAATCTGGTTTAGTTGTCATGATGGCTAATTTTTCACCAAATAGTTGTAATGGAATTATAACATGAATAGTATTCCACCTTTTTGTGTTCTTCCAACCACATGAACATTAGCAATTTAAGTAAATGTGACATAATGGCAGTTATTACATGTAGCAATACGGAAAATGACAACAGCAACGGGATTTCACATGATTCAAAATCAAAAGTATAAAAACCTACACTTTAAGCTTCATGCCCAAATCTTGCAGGAATGTACAGTATGACTTGCGTAGATAAGTCTCTTTCTTCAAATCGATGGCATCTCGTCTAGATGGGGAATTTTCTTCAATTTCCTTCCTAGACAAATACCAACGGCCACCAACTTCCTCTGGCTTGTCTTCAGAAAGTTTGTAAGACCCACCTTCGTACAATCCATGGATTGAAGTATCACTAGGCATCAACCCAGCCATATGTACCTCTTTCCAAAAAAATGTATCTAGGAATCACATAAAATATTTCTCTAGTTAACACAATATATACCACACAACATCCAAATAACATCCTGTCCAGAATTACCATACAAAGTCAAGCACATGCTATGAGAGTTCAAACTCAATACAACAATAACAAAAACTGATGGCAATCATGGCATCACAAACAAAACCAAAAGCATCTCAAAATGATTCAATAAGCACAACAATTGCATCTTGTCAAGTGTTCTGTAACTGAGTATTATACCCTAGTTTTCATTATAACCTTTCACACCCACTGCGATAATTTACCTCACCTAATGAGAATTGGACACAACTAATAGGTTCTTTACTACAAGAAAAATGGCAATTCACAAAAGGCACTTCAAAAAATAAAGGATACAATGTAGACTAATTATATGTGTGTACATGTGTTTGGGGTTGTTGCCTTGTTGGGGGAAAAGGAAAGAGAAAAAGGAGGGGGGTGGGGGGTTGTTGTATGCAGGTACGAACAATCTATCAGAGATACTAACACTAGTGTGGAATGTCAAGTCTTAGACTAAATGTTCTACAGTTTGGAGAACCATTTGAGAAAATCAAATAGTTTCAGGCTTTCAGCCATTTTTTGACAGTAACCTAGGTCCTGACTCTCACCATGGTGGTCTGTCATTAAATTGCACTAATATTTCTCTCCCAAAAGCATAGATATATTCAATCAAGGATCTTAGATGCATAAATTCAGAGAGAAGCCCACAAAGACTCATGACCAAAAACCTACGGCATAGTTGTCAAATCGCGATTCGCATTGTGAATCGGAATCTTAAATTTGACAATTGTGAATCGTAAGATTCGACACAAAATTTGAACAAAAATAAAAAATAATACTACATATTTAAAATAGACAAAATATTGAATATTGAATATTGCACATTATTGCATTCTAAAAATAATAAATTGACATAATCACATCGTCTAAATGGAAAGACGCTAGTCTTTTAATTCTTTTCTATCTTTTGTTTAACCATTTTCAAATTCAACAACTTGAAAAAAAAAAATTCATTAAAGAACATGGCTATTCAAGAACCAAAATAGTAACAATTAGAATAGATTAGATTACAAACTTGAATGGAAAAAGAACAAATAAGAAAATTGATCGGGAGAAAACATACATGCCAACATTTTGAAAAAACAAATTAGAACCTAACAAACTACTCATGAAAGAATTGAGAGTAAAAATCAATCAATGATGCAAGAGCATTAACCGTGACCTTCAGACAACGCAAGGCAAGCTCTAGACGACGTCAGAGAGAGAACGAGTAAAGAGATTGAGTTTTTATTAGGGAGTGCGTTCCTATGCAAACAAAACGACGTCGTTTTACTATTTAGCGTACAAAACGACATTGTTTTACTGTTTAGCAGACAAAACGACGTCGTTTTGCCAAAAAATTGGGTTTTAAAAAAAAGGGTGATTGAATTATGCAATTCGTGAAATACGAATCAAATCGTACGAATGGTATAATTCAGGTGCGATTCAACTCTAAAACAATTCTCATACAAGATACGAATCGTTTTGTACCTATATCGAATCGAATCGAATCTTATGAATCGAATCATGAATCATACGATTTTGATAACTATGACCTACAGCCTTCAACATGTTATTTTACATTTGATCTCTCGAAAATTAAGAGCATTCTTTTACACGAAAACATTTAAATGTCATGTTAATTCGTAAAAAAACAAGGTCAATAAGGAATTATATTCGAAGTGGAATTTCGCAATTCCAATGATGATGTTCATCGAGAATTCTAAAATCATGTTGACATCCAAAGGTGGCTATGTCCAATGAAGGATGTGGTCATTATAGATGTATAACCTAAGAATGTGATTCTGCAAGCTAAAGCATTTGGCATAATTAAAGACTCAAGAACAAAAGTCTATATATGAATAACACTCAAAAGTCTATATATGAATAACACTCTTTCTTTTGCTACTAGGATATCCAGGTCTTCAGCTAACCACACCCATTACCAATCGACATGGGCTGGGCGGGGCTACACCAGGGATAAAGCCAGGCTAATGGCTAGCCCCAGGGAGGAATAGGGAAAGTTGATCCTAGGATTTACTGCTTAATGAAACTTTGGCAGGGTTCATTAACTAGAAACACCTCCCTCCACCGCTTCGGGCTACATGACTATACCGCTTTCATTTGTAATAACACCATCTGCTTTTCTCATTTTGAAAAGATTTGACAAACAAACATTATCATATGTCATTTATACAAGGACAAAACCATGGTATAATCCTCTTCAAGTCTTTGATTGATAAAGAATAGAAGTTAGAGAACAATCTTCAACCCATTGTCAACAGAGAGACAATAAAATGTGTAAAAGAATAAACATACTTATGAAACATTCCCACTAATGCATTTCAGTCGTTGCAAACTCCAGGACAATAAAGTGTCTAAATGCCATATTATTTGCTCAAAAAACTATACATTTCAAATTACTATATATGTAGTCCATATGATATAGAAAACCAAGAATACGGTTAGGCGTGAGGAAGGGGAAGAATTATTATAATGGCCAGATGAGTTGTGCTGTCAGCAAGGCCTTAAAACCTAGACCTTTCAGTAACTCCTAAGTCCTAACGCCCCCCCCCCCCCCAGCCCAAAACAACAACCAAAAAAAAAACCCAAAAAAATAAATAAACAAAGCCGAATAAAAAAAGATGAAGTCAAAAGCAAAAAAGCAACCCTTAAGAAACATTTTCATCGACAAAATCTCATTTGGACACCAATTTAAATAGCAATCTGTAAGAGCCTTTCAGCGGCCCAACAAATCAGTATAGATGGCCCACTACATAAGTTAACCAACTTAAGGCATTTCCATCTCAATTGCTCTCAGTGAAAATTGTCAATAAACAATAGGTCTCCAATGTTTCAGCTATCAGATTATCACCAAAGCACGGCAAAAACTCTCTCTCTCTCTCTCTCAAACACGCGCAAAAATTTTGCTCACATACTTCCTGGTGCTTGGATAGAATAGCAATTTCATCTCCATTTTTCATGGTACATCAAGTCATCATACATTCTTCCTCCCAATGGCAACTCTTGTTCGGCTCAAGATTTTCTAAAAGTTTATAAACCTTAATCTAACAATATAGTTTTTCCTCCATTTCCTTTTTTTTTCTATTTATTTAATAATTTTTTGTGTGCGGTTGTATTTTGATTTCCTTGTTGAACATAAACACAATCACACCCCTTTGACTTATCACTTCTCTCAAATATTTCTTCTATTAATAAAAAAAAAAATGATATTGTCACTGACATTGTATAATTATTCCACAACAACTTTGGCATCATGTCTATGGCATTTCACACGTACATAATAATGGCCTTATCGAAAAATCATGATTCAACCCCCAACTGATGAAAATGAGTGAAAAATTAACCGGCAAACTCTCTACTTCAGTGATTGATCTAGGTTTAGAAATTTCAACTAATACAAAGAGCATGGGTTGGAGTAACTAGGCCAAATATTTATGCGTCAATGCTGCTGAAATGATCCCAAAAGAGTACAAATTACTTTGGTACTTATTTCTCAACAAGCATGCAGTCCACGAAAATAGGTGGGATTTAAAGCAACATCCTGGAGAACGAACATGGACCGACATGCAGTCCCTAAAAACAGTGAGACATCAGTGCAGCATCCAAAAGAAAATTTGATCACAGCAAATTCATCACGAAACTAAAAGTAAAGAAAATATCTCCTCTCAAAACATAAAACTTTGTTGTCGGCCATGAATCAAGGGTTTGTTTATGTAAAGACTAGGGACATAAGAGCATCGAACTTCATTTTCCCTTCTCTTTTACCCCCTTAAGTTAACAAGGCTTTAAGATGTTTCCTTCCACACTTTGTCTATCCCAAATATACCAGTTTCTTCCTCAGCCACTTTAATCCCTCACCATCAAGCATACCAATAGATATAAAGAGGGATATGACTTGATACAGATACGGTGATATAGCAAAAACTTGATAAAACAAAGAAAAAATACAAGAAGCGCAAACAACCCAACAATAGAAATGCATATATCCATCTTATATTCTATTTTGCTAGTTAAGAATTTTAAACAATCCCTTGGAGAATTCAACTTTTGTACACACAAAAGCATATTACTATAACATTATTCCAACAGCACTAAACTGTAAGCACTATAATCCCTTCCAATTTTTGTTAGAAAGCAGCATCCCTCATATTTGTTTGAAAGCACAAAAAAACCATAATACAACGCATCAACATAACAGAAAGAAGTTTACCCAGTCCAACACATACCCAACCACAAGCACGCACGAATACCCATGCACGAAATCTCTCTTTTTAATTGTATATAATGAATATATTTGGTGTATAAACCCAGCCCATTACTCGCCAAACCTAATTCATATATCCCAACACTAATTCAAATAAAACCCATAAATTTCCACAATTCTCCCAGTCTACCTCCTTGTCAAAATCATTCAACTAAACCAATTCCATCAAATTCAAAAACCCATAACATATAAAATCATACCCACACACACACATACAAATGGAATAGATATACTGACCAGTAGGGGTACTTGGATTCCTCTCTGACCTTTCTTCTTAGCAGAATCTGGAACAAAGAACGAGTTGCGCTAGGGTTTGATTTGAGGAGTTAAGCGCCAGATTAGCATCAGTTGAATAGAGAGCACAACCGAGTGTTCGGTTGATAAAGAGAGCTCGATTACAGTGTGGTATCTGTGTGACTGATTGTTCGATCCCCTTCTCTCTCGCTCATCTATACTCTTCTCTCTCGCCGTTCGGCCCTTCGCTTCGTAGGAGTCTTGTCAGGTGGGTTGATGAAAGAGAAAAGATTGGGGGTTGGTTGTGTTATTTAGTACTTTTCAATTCCTGGTCATGTTACAGAAAAAAAAAAAAATTGTTGAGTAAATCACATAAATTTCCCTGATAAATGGCCTTTATTTTAAATTTTAAAATTATCTTAATTTATTGTAAATCTCATAAATTTCCCTGGTAAATAACCTTTATTTTTAAATTATATTTCAAATTTTAAATCATCTTAATTTATCCCTTAAAATTATATAATTATTTAGAATCAATTTCTTCAAAATAATCTGAAACAAATTTCATTAAAATTAATCAAAAAATAAGATAGGTTTTGTTAAAAAATATAGTTAGTTACTAAATTTTATTTTTAGATTCAATTTGATCAATTTATTTTAATTTAATCTCTCAATTATTAATTTTATTTTAATTAAGTCCTATTAATTTTCATCATTTGAATTTTTAAAGATTAGTTGAATCTAATCCATTTCAGCATTGATCAAAAGGTGAAAATGGGTTAAAATTGAGATAATAAATTATAGGGATTAAATTAAAATCGAAAGTAAATTTCAGATATCATTATCTTAAAATTAATCACAAAATGAGATCGATTCAGTTAAGATTAATACAATTTATTTAACGAATAATTTTAACGAAATGGATCGATTAAAATAATTATATAATTTAAAAGATAAATTAAAATAAATTGATACAATTAAAAATTCAGAGAATAATTTAAAATAAAAGATATAGTTCATAAGGTATTTATGACATTTACCAACAACAAGAGTAAATGCGAGAAAAAATTTAGACCGATCCAACATTGGTTGACCCGAAACATCTTGAGCAAATTACACTCAGACCCTTTAAAATTTATTATTTAATTAGATAGACCACGTAGGTATAAAAATTTACACAAACATCTGTTTTCAATAAAGTTTGACAAGACGCGTAGGAACTTTTCATTTCTTTTCTTTTTCCCCCCTGAAGGTAACACGCGACGCAACGGAACTTTAGAATGTAGTAAAAGTATCCTTAATTCGGATTGACCCCTCCCAATTGTTGAAATATCAGACAGACCCCTTACCCCACAGACCCAGCAAACTAAATTCCGCGATTTGGATTGACCAAGAAGAAATAAAGCTCACCACGTCCCCAATTTGATCCAAACAAACTTCGTCAAAAGAATGAGTCAAAGTCAAGCCTGAACAATCTAGTGCTCTGCTTAGTTTGGTTCATTTGCAAACCTATGTTCATCCAACTTATGCTCCACTCCGTGGCGTTGGCCGGAGCAGAAACTCCATGCACATTGCTTGTATGGCCGGCCACCTTGATTTAGTAGAAGAAACATTGAAATTCCGTCGAGAATTCGTTGAAGAACTCAACCAAGATGGTTTAAGCCCACTCCATATTGCCTCAGCTTGTGGGCATACTGAGATTGCGATGGAGTTATTGGAAGCTGGAGGTAGAGATCTTTGCCTAGTAAAGGGGAGAGAGAGAATAATTGCTCTTCATTACTCTCTGATCAAAGGCAAAGTTGATATCATTAAAGAACTGCTTTCAGCTAATATAGATTCTATTGGAGAAGTGACAGTTAGAGGAGAGACGGCTCTGCACTAGGCAGTGAAGAACAATCAGTTTGAACCTTTTTTAGGGTTATGGTGGAGCATCTCAAGCAGTTCAACAAGGAGGATGTCTTAAATAGAAAGGATGATCAAGGCAACACCATCTTGCACCTTGCAGCCTCAAGAAAACAATATGAGGCAAGTACCATGTACAATCAAGACAGTGTTGTTTTATTTCTGCTTCAAGTTGCGTTCTTATTAACCCTACACTAACACATTTAATTATGTAAATGTCTGAACACTAACCCGATACGTTTGTTAATCACGTCATGCTCATGTTGATCCGCACCACTAGTGCACCAATAACCTAGTATGAAGGATGCTCCTCTCTCCCAATTAAACTCACCACCTACACTATCAATCTAATGACTATAAATGATTAGTTTAATAAATTTGGCCAATAAATTAAGTACATATAAAATTATTTTTGTAAGCGTACTTTGAAGTGCCCATTTTGAAAGTTGAATGATTACTCTCCCTTCGTTGAGTGAGTCCTTTTTTTGAGTTAGTGATTCCCCGATCATCCTTACTTTGATTTCTTATTTTTTGGATTTTTGTAGTCATGTAATCTTAATAATTTTGGCCAGCATCATATAGATGACCGATCTTCATCCAATACATATATACTCATCGGAATAATCAAAAGTTATTTTTGACATTAATGAACCAACTAACTTAGCATATTACACACACACACATATATATTTACACTACATAGAGAATTGCATATAATTCCAACACAAAAGCCAACACACACCCCCAGAGAGAGAGAGAGAGCATCAATCATGTATGGAATATTGTCTCCCAATATCTCACAACTATTTGCGGAATACTTCACCGCACTTATGTCAGAGCTGAAGTTAAGGTTCCACCGTCTGCTCAGGGCGTTGAAGACTAGCGAGAAAATCATTCAGCCAAAAAGTCCAAATTTGTAGTCGTTGGACCAACCCCTCGGTGATGGCACGCACTTGGTCTTTCAGCGACAATGCATTCCTTGCCCTCCACTTTAAATACAAAATACTGAGCACCACGATTTCAAAACTCCCAAGTAACCTTGCCAAAATACGCTTTGTCGCAGTGCTGGCTTGGGATGCTGTTACTTCTATGCCGTGAGCATGACAGTCAACAAGTGCAGCCACTGCGATTTTCAATATCCAGTGCATAAAAATTCCGTCCGTGAGAATAATGATCATGTAGGCAGAAAAAAGAAATCCAAGTGAGATGAACAGTTGGAATACAGCGAATTTGTGTGGATGATGGTAGCTCATTACTGCCTGCCCAGCAATGTGTGGTATAGTGGTCTTGGTGTCGTTGCTGAAATTATTACCAAACTCATCATCTTGCCATACACCACCAGGAGGACTAAGCATAGACTGATATGTCGTGTTAGCCAAAAATAGAGCAATCGCAAGCAGGGCAGTGGGTTCTTGGGTTGAAGAATCTCTAATGTTAGGAAACAATCTCCCAAAGGGTGCTCGACTTGGTTCCGTGGTTGATTGGTTATTTGATGGGTTATTACCTGCATTAATCTGGTCGTGTACTGTTGTCTGTGCCAAAGAATGCAATTCTCCGGATCTCATAGCCCCGGCTTGCTGGAGAATCTCCTCGATTTCTCTATCACCCGCTTCACTTTGAAAAAGTAATGAAACATCCATAGGTGTGAGACCCCTCTCATTAAGAGAATTGACCTCCACCACACCCCTAGAAATGAGGTCTGTATTAAGCACCAAGTCAACCACCTGTACATGTTTTCCCCTCTTTGGTGAAAATAATCAAGCAGCATTGAAAACACACAAATAATACATGAACATAGGGAGCTCCATATCCTTTGCATCATACCTTCATTCAATTGTAGATCACCCACCCACTGTATATGAGTAAGGGGCTCATTTATAGATAGCAGGTAAGGAGAGGTGCACCAGGTTCTGAGAGAATAAGTCAGTTATCGGAGTCCTAACTAGGGTTGTAACCTATATATATATATATATATATATTAAGTTGTAACCCTGATTTGGTGTGGAATAAAAAAAGGCCGATGTTCGCTTGTGAAAATAGGCAAGTTGTCGAATCACATAAAATTCTTGTGTTCTTCTTCTAATTATCTGTTTCTTTGATTGTTCATCACCATTAGAAATAGAAATTACACACAGTTACCTCTTGACACGCGAAAACAGACCGAATCAACTAGCTTTACGGTCTTGCTTGTATCCTCACGGCTTGGTGTCTACATGCCTGATAATCTGCTGGGAAAAGGGCTACCAGACTCCTCTCAGCATCCACCCTCACATAGAGGCGGTGCCAGAAATTTGGGGTAGTAGGGACAAAAATTTTAACACCAACAATATATTAAAATTTATATAAAAAAGTGCTTGGAAAAAAAAAATTGAGTGGGGGAAGGTAAGTATAGCTCCGCCCCTGCACTCACAAAACCAAGGAATCCTTTTGGATGGTGATTCCTAGAGAGAAACTTTGGAAAAGAGAGAGAGTGACGAATTTTTCTTGTATATTTTCTGTATAACTCTCACCCTATATAAAGGAGAAGAGCTCATTAGGTCTCAAACAACCTTGAAGACATTGAGTGAGTTGACTCGGTCTCTTAACCGGGTGAAGATTGCAATGACCATGAATCATAACAAGATCCCACTTGAATGTAGAATAGATGATCTACTATTGAATGAAATTATAATCTCAATGATTCAACATAGGATTTGGAGTTGCAGTTTTTTTTTTTTTTTTTTTTTTTTTTTTGGGGGGGGGGGGGGGGGGGTTGTGTACTTGCCTCATATTGCTTTCTTGAGACTGCAAGGTGCAAGATAGTATTGCCTGAATCATCCTTTATATTCAACACATCTTCCTTGTTGGACCGCTTGAGATGCTCCACCATAACCCAAAAGGCTTCAAACTGGTTGTTCTTCACTGCCAAGTGCAGAGCAGTCTCTCCTCTGGTTGTCACTTCTGCAACAGAATCGATGTTAGCCGAAAGCAGTTCTTTAATGACATCAACTTTACCTTTGATCACAGAGAAGTGAAGAGCAATTCTTCTCTCTCTTCCCTTTATTAGGCAAAGATTTGTACCACCAGCTTCCAATAACTCCTTCACAATCTCAGTATGCCCACAAGCTGAGGCAATATGCAGTGGGCTTAAACCACCTTGGTTGAGTTCTTCGATGAATTCTCGCCGGAATTTCATGATTTCTTTTACAAAATCAAGGTGGCCGGCCATACAAGCAATATGTAACGGAGTTTCAGCTCCGGCTAACGCGACGGCCTGAAGCATAAGAGGATCATTGTTGATCATGTTGAGCAAGTTTTCAACATTTCCAGTCCTAGCAGCGTCAAACAGCCTTCTATCCATTCTTGTAGAGAATCTCAGTCACAGATTCAAAATTTCAGTAGTTTAGAGGTACGATGAAACCAAATTGAATGAAATATATATATATATATATATATATATATATATATATATATATATATTGTTGGATAAAGCAGCTGGTCATTGGAGAAGAAGCTTCAGTGGTAATTTCCTCTACTTTTTTTTCCTCATATAATTTTGTCTTCCTTCACTTTCGTGGATGCAGTTGGGTGGAAAATATGATTTTGGACTTCCAGTGTTTTAAGATTTTTTTTTTTTTTAATTGGAGTGATGCTTCAAGGTTGTGGTATAGATCATATATTAGGAGGGTATTAAATGCATGAGTAATGCTTGAATTTAAAAACTAGACTTAAAAATTAGATTTGATAATCTTAACCATTGAATAGGTAATAGGTCCCAATAAATGTTGGAACTCACAGTAAAATCAATGGTTGAAATTATTAAGTCTATTTTTTAAATCCATATAGAATTGTTCATGTATTTATTGATTGCAATATTCGATAATCATGACTTAGACAACTCAACCTTATATCTTGGACTGGAGAACAATGAGTATTCGTCTAAACTCATTCTACTTGAACCAAAAATGGATTATATATATTAGACAGTACACATATATGGGGATATCTATATAAATCCGTATGAAGATGAAGGTGATGATGGACTGAAACTCATTTCCAACTTGCTAACCCCATGATTATATATATATATATATATATATATATATATATATAATCAATGACGGAATCAGAATTTTACTTTGAGGAAGCCAATAATGACACAAAAATTTAATTCAATAGGATTATTCAACAATCATTGTCAATGATAAATTTTTATTTGTAAAGAACTTACTAAATTTAATTTTTATGCAATTGCAACAAAAAAAATAGTTTTGAGCGCAAAACTCAAAAATTGGTTCATGCCATTAGAAAAATTCATTTGTGATAATATTATTGTACTCTTTTTTTCTTGTTTATAATGTTACCTTATATTTATAAATAAATTAATGTCATATATAATCTATATAATAAAATACAATATAATTCAAATATCAAAAGATAAACAAAATAATTTTTATTTTTCGAGGATGAGATCTCTTTAAATTTTTTACTTTAAAGTTAATTCAATGACTAATATTAACACTTCAAATTTAATAGAAAAAATAGACCGCTAAAATTATGTTTAGGGTGACTTTTCAAAAGTGCTTATAAAACTTGCAACTTTTTACAAGTAACTTTTTTTTTATAAAAAAGTACTGTTTGGAACCGGCTCACCACCACCGCCTCTGCCACCTCATCACCACCACCACCCCCACCACTACCGTCACTAGCGCCACCCCACTACAACCTCTATCATGATAACCACCACCACCATCACCATCACCGCCATTATGACCATCATCATCATCATCACCCACGCCGTCGCTGCCACCACCACCTCACCATCAGCACCACCACTACCGCCACCTTACCACCATTGTCACTGTTCCACCATCACCCTTACCACAATCACCCCCATGACCATCACCACCACCGCCATCGTCGCCACCCCCACCACCACCACCATCACCACCCACCACCAATTGCTACCACCGTCGTATACCCACCACCATCGTTATCTCATTCTTATATTTATTACCACTACCACCATCATCTCATTACCACCGTCTGCATCTAATACCACTATTGTTACCCACCACCACCCACTACCATAACCCATCACCACCTGTCGTCAGCCACTATCACCTACCCCTACCACACCTACCTCCATCAACTACCACCACTCGTAATCGTCCATCACCGTTGCCTCCTATTATCACCCACCCCCACTGTAAAACCCAAAAAAAATAAATTAAAAAATTATTATTATTATTAAAAATCTAAATGAAATGGGTGACATAATAATTAATTGTTAGCATAAGGGTCAAAAATGTAAAAGTTTTAAGAAAAAAGTAAATTTATGCTATATATATAAATGTGTGAAGACTTTAGTCTTCCACTTTTTCCTTTCTCCAGCCGGTGCCAAGTGAGTGAGAGAGAGAAAAGTGTTTTGTTTTTTTTCTTTATTTTACTCTTTTCTTCTTCTTCTTTAGATCTATGAAGATTGGACCGTTAAATCGCTTCGGACCAATAATTAAAGTTGCTCTACTCAGCGAGAGTTACGCAACTACACCAAATATCGTATTTTTCTCCGAAATAATATCAAAGTCAATAATTTAGGCCTAAGGCTTATCAAAGCCGATAATTTAAGCCTAAGGCTTAGGAAGCTAAATTTGGGTTTCCTTGGAGTTTTAGTAAGTGGGTTCACGCTACGAGAGATAGGGTTTCCCCTATTTAGATTTAATTTCAACTTAAAATATGGCATATGAAATGAGTAGGTTATGAATATATATCACATATTAGGTCTTCACTAGTGTAACTAGTGGGTCAAATATAGGATTTATAATTAACCTTGTGATTAATAAAATCCTATTACGATTAACTTGGTGTAAATTAATGTTAGTGGTTTAAAACATGTTAATTGTATATTAGCATTTATTTTATGTTTTAATGGCATATCAAGTTTAATAAAATTATTAACTTGTTATGTGATTATGAAATAATATATATGTTAAAAGATTATTTAACATATGATTATTTTGATGGACTTGTACTTATATTTTATAATTAATAAACATGTTGTTATGATAAAAGTCATAACATGCTAGTTGTGTAAATTGTTGTACTCTTTAGGTGTTTGATTAAATGCCTAGGTGAATACAAGTATGTTGGTTGAGTTGATTATCTTACATACACATGCTTGAGATCGTGTTAAAATGTCATTATATTGTATTCATTATGTAATGGACATTGTATTGCATTATGCATGAGTTGCACTACATTCATGAGCATTGACATGGGTGGGAGTGTATGCATGGTATGAAATCAATCACCACATAAGTGGTTGATCGTGGGCTTGAAAAAGTCACACCAAGGTTCAGCTGAGTCGTACGAAAAATTAAATGGATAAATGTGTTGGGGACAGCAAGAAGGGTTAGATTCTTCCTCGGGTGCAAGACCCACTTACTTGGTTTATACATTTTTCGGCGATGAAATTTCAGAAAAATGTAACGACAGAAACGAAGTCGCAGATGGGATGTCCTGAAGATCCGTTGATGGTTGGTGTCACATTGGTGTAATACCATAAATCATCTCCCCACAAAGACACAAGAAAATGAATTAATTAGTCATTTAGTGTACATAACACCAATTATGGGGGCTTGGAATGCCCAGATACATACGC